TTTTTCTTCTTCTTTTTCTTCTTCTTTTCTTCTTCTTCTTCTTCCCTTTCTACTCCTACTTCCTCTTTTAAACGTCACATCTTGTTTCTTCTTCTTCTTCTTCTTCTTCTTCTTCTTCTTCCTTTCTACTCCCACTTCCTCTTTTAAACGTCACATCTTGTTTCTTCTTCTTCTTCTTCTTCTTCCCTTTCTACTCCCACTTCCTCTTTTAAACGTCACATCTTGTTTCTTCTTCTTCTTCTTCTTCCCTTTCTTCTCCCACTTCCTCTTTTTAAACGTCATCTTGTTTTTCTTCTTTTTCTTCTTCTTCTTCTTCTTCTTCTTCTTCCCTTTCTACTCCCACTTCCTCTTTTAAACGTCACATCTTGTTTCTTCTTCTTCTTCTTCTTCCCTTTCTTCTCCCACTTCCTCTTTTAAACGTCACATCTTGTTTCTTCTTCTTCTTCTTCTTCTTCTTCTTCTTCTTCCCTTTCTACTCCACTTCCTCTTTTTTAAACGTCACATCTTTTTTTCTTCTTCTTCTTCTTCTTCTTCCTTTCTACTCCACTTCCTCTTTTAAAGTCACATCTTGTTTCTTTTCTTCTTCTTCTTCTTCTTATTCTTCTTCTTCTTCTTCTTCTTCCGTTTCTACTCCCACTTCCTCTTTTAAACGTCACCTTGTTTTTCTTCTTCTTCTTCTTCTTCTTCTTCTTCTTCTTCCGTTTCTACTCCCACTTCCTCTTCTAAACGTCACATCTTGTTTTTCTTCTTCTTCTTCTTCTTCTTCTTCTTCTTCTTCTTCTTCCTTTTCTCTCCCACTTCCTCTTTTAAAAGTCGCATTTTGTTTCTTCTTTTTCTTCTTTTTTTCTCTTTTTTCTTCTTCTTTTCTTCTTCTTCTTCCCTTTCTACTCCCCACTTCCTCTTTTAAACGTCACATCTTGTTTCTTCTTCTTCTTCTTCTTCCTTTTTCTCTCCACTTCCTCTTTTAAACGTCACATCTTGTTTCTTCTTCTTCTTCTTCTTCCCTTTCTTCTCCCACTTCCTCTTTTAAACGTCACATCTTGTTTCTTCTTCTTCTTCTTCTTCTTCTTCTTCTTCTTCTTCTTCTTCTTCCCTTTCTACTCCCACTTCCTCTTTTAAACGTCACATCTTGTTTCTTCTTCTTCTTCTTCGTCACTTTCTTCTCCCACTTCCTCTTTTAAACGTCACATCTTGTTTCTTCTTTTTCTTTTCTTCTTCTTCTTCTTCTTCTTCTTCTTCTTCTTCCCTTTCTACTCCCACTTCCTCTTTTAAACGTCACATCTTGTTTCTTCTTCTTCTTCTTCTTCTTCTTCTTCTTCTTCTTCTTCTTCTTCTTTTCCCTTTACTCCCCTTCCTCTTTTAAAAGTCACATCTTGTTTCTTTTCTTCTTCTTCTTTTTTTTCTTCTTTTTTCTTCTTCTTCTTTTTTCTCTCCTACTTCCTCTTTTTAAACGTCACATCTTGTTTCTTCTTTTTCTTCTTTTTCTTCTTCTTTTTCTTCTTCTTCTTCTTCTTCTTCTTCCCTTTCTACTCCCACTTCCTCTTTTAAAAGTCACATCTTGTTTCTTCTTTTTCTTCTTTTTCTTCTTCTTCTTTTTCTTCTTTTTCTTCTTCTTCTTCTTCCCTTTCTACTCCTACTTCCTCTTTTAAACGTCACATCTTGTTTCTTCTTCTTCTTCTTCTTCTTCTTCTTCTTCCTTTTCTACTCCCACTTCCTCTTTTAAACGTCACATCTTGTTTCTTCTTCTTCTTCTTCTTCTTCTTCTTCTTCTTCTTCTTCATCTTCCCTTTCTACTCCAACTTCCTCTTTTAAACGTCTCATCTTGTTTCTTCTTCTTCTTCTTCTTCCCTTTCTACTCCCACTTCCTCTTTTAAAAGTCACATCTTGTTTCTTCTTTTTCTTCTTTTTCTTCTTCTTTTTCTTCTTCTTCTTCTTCTTCTTCTTCTTTTTCTTCTTTTTCCCTTTCTACTCCTACTTCCTCTTTTAAACGTCACATCTTGTTTCTTCTTCTTCTTCTTCGTCTTCTTCTTCTTCACTTTCTACTCCCACTTCCTCTTTTAAACGTCACATCTTGTTTCTTCTTCTTCTTCTTCTTCTTCTTCTCGCTTCTTCTTCCCTTTCTACTCCCACTTCCTCTTTTAAACGTCACATCTTGTTTCTTCTTCTTCTTCTTCTTCTTCTCGCTTCTTCTTCCCTTTCTACTCCCACTTCCTCTTTTAAACGTCACATCTTGTTTCTTCTTCTTCTTCTTCTTCCCTTTCTACTCCCACTTCCTCTTTTAAACGTCACATCTTGTTTCTTCTTCTTCTTCAAAGAGAAGACAAAACCATCCCCTCCACAATTTTCCCACTCAATGGTCTCAATCACAGTAATACAACCATCGCTAGATTTATCAAAGGCCTTAAACCTAAGAAAGTCTCTGGTCCTGACAAAATTCCGGTGGATGTCCTTACGAACATCAACCCGGAACTATCCCCAGTCTTAGCAAAGTCATTCAAACGGCTGCTGGAAGGAGAAACCTTTCCCAATCCTTTGGAAGGTGATAAGTGTATACACGGTTTTCAAGAACGCGGGCGTGCAATTTTCCCCCACCCAGTACAGACCCATCAGTCTCCTCATTATCACCAGTAAGCTATTTGAAGCCGTAATCTATAAGAAGGTCGTCGAGCATCTTGAAAAGAACAACCTGTTCATGACCCGATCCACTGACGACGTCCTGACTATCATCACTCACAGAATCATGGGTCCTCGATGTGGGTTTCTCTTGACGAGAAACCCACAACGAGGACGATAGCATTACATATCTCAAAGACCTTCGACAAGGTGAGGCACAGACGTTTATTGCAAAAGCTCTCGATTTATGCAATCGCCGGAAAGGTCTTCTTGATATTAAGATAATTCCTAACTGGTAGGTCCCTGAAGACAGTGGCCAGCCATCGGAGCCCTAGAGTTCAACGTGGGCGTCCCCAAGGTTCACTCCTCGGACCAACCCACATCTAAATAAACGATCTGCCAAAGAATATACTCCGATCATTTGTAAATATCTATGCCGATGATACAACTCTATAGGGTCGCACTTCTGAAACTCACGATGGTCAGTGATTGGCAGCTGAACTCTCTTCCGATCATGCACAAACTATCCAATGGGGTAAAAAATGGCTTATTATATTCAAAGACTCGAAGGATAAGCTAATTATATTCCATCATCGCCGAACTGACTCCAAATTTCCACCAATCTTGATGAACGGAGGTCATCTCTGGGAAACACCGTGCCCCGAAAAACTTGGTGGTCAAACTCACACCCGACCTCAACTGGAACTCGTACGTACAATACATTGCTAAAGATAGGAATGCATTAGAATCCTAGCTCTTTATAGAACCTGGAATATTATGGTTAGGATTTATGAAACAAATCCATCCAAACTTTCATTCCCACTAATGATTCCATATCTAGTGATATAGCAAATACTAAAAGTATCTATAGAAATTCATTGCAAATGATTTTACTATAGGAATGCATTAGAAATGTTTTGAATACTAGCTCTTTATGGAACCTGGAATATTATGGCTAGGATTTATGAAACAAATCCATCCAAACTTTCATTCCCTCTAATGATTCCATATCTAGTGATATAGCAAATACTAAAAGCATCGATAGAAATTCATTGCAAATGATTTTACTATAGGAATGCATTAGAAATGATTTGAATACTAGCTCTTTATGGAACCTGGAATATTATGGTTAGGATTTATGAAACAAATCCATCCAAACTTTCATTCCTTCTAATGATTCCATATCTAGTGATATAGCAAATACTAAAAGCATCTATAGAAATTCATTGCAAATGATTTTACTCTAGGAATGCATTAGAAATGATTTGAATACTAGCTCTTTATGGAACCTGGAATATTATGGCTAGGATTTATGAAACAAATCCATCCAAACTTTCATTCCTTCTAATGATTCCATATCTAGTGATATAGCAAATACTAAAAGCATCTATAGAAATTCATTGCAAATGATTTTACTATAAAAATGCATTAGAAATGATTTGAATCCTAGCTCTTTATGGAACCTGGAATATTATGGCTAGGATATATGAAACAAATTCATCATGATACAATATGTAAGAAAATGGCACGAAAAATTCCAGTAATGTCTCTTTGTTGCAGAGATGTTATGAAAAGTCCATCATAGCTTGGTAACAATCCGTAAGATCACATAATGTATGTAAATGTTATGAAAACGACATACTTATGCTCTTGACAGGGAATAGTATTGGAGATTTAGAAAGTCGAAAGGATTTATCTATATACTATGCACAAATAACACAATTAGCAGTCCCAGCGTGGACCATAACAACCTGCCAGTTCCATTAATCTAGAAGCAATAGTCGATTAACTTGGGATTTGTTCTGTATGGCCCGGGAGATAAGATGGCGTACAGAGTTCAACAGGAGGTCACGAGATCAGTGCAAAGGTCAGGATTAGACAATTCCAAAGATACGCATACGCGTGCGTTGAATGTGACTTGGACGAGAGGAAAGGCACACAATCATCCTGAACAACATTAGACAACATTCCAGAACCCAGCAAACATCCGGAGGCTACGTGGCCGAATCGACATGATTAAAAGATAGCAACCCTCGCCAACCCACCTGTATTGAACAATGTACGTCCTTACGCCGAACACGCAGCTACTCGGCGAGGATAAATAATCGATTTTAGAAGTCTTAAGAAGCTCTAATCTCGACAAAAAAAACGCATTTTGACACACAACCACGCAGAGGGGAACGGGCAAAGACACTGAAGAGACCTGACATGGAGCGCATCAAATTCTGGAGGCGCATGTGTACACGCGAAATGTGCCCCGAGCCCCGAGGTTCTTTACAACAGACCCACGCATAGTACGTTGACGGTCACCCCTTCGCATCGTTCTTCCGTCTTTCTTCTACCGAAATCGAGGCTCGCTCCTGCTTGAGTGGGTATGCGCTATCGTG